TGCAAAATTGGGAAAATTGATCCGGTAGGTCGATTCTCATAGAGTTTTTAGGATTTGCGCACTAAATCAAGTTGTATAAGTGTGGAAATTTTCAAATTGATGGTGGCTTTCATTTAGGAATGAGGATTTTTTTTAAATGAGTCTCTGGAAGATTTGCCTGCTATGCAGTACAATGTTTGCAAAATTGGGAAAATTCAACTGATGGTTCGATTCGCATAGATTTTTCAGGATTTGCACACGAAATCAAGTTGTATAAGTGTGGACATTTTCAAATTTATGGGTGCTTTCATTTAAGAATAAGAAATTTTGTTAAACAGTCTCTATGGAAGTTTTCCCTACTCTGCAGTACCAAGTTTGCAAAATTGCTAAAATTCAACTGATGGTTCGATTCTCTAACAGTTTTCAGTAGTCCCACACTAAATCAAGTTGTATAAATGTGGAAATTTTCAAATTTATGATTGCTTTCATTTAGGAATAAGGATTTTTTTAAACAGTCTTTTTGGAAGTGTTCCCTGCTCTGCAGTCCCAAGTTTGCAAAATTGGGAAAATTCAACTGATGGTTCGATTCTCTTCGATTTTTCAGGATTTGCACACTAAATCAAGCTGTATACGTGTGGAAACTTTCAAGCCTGCAGTTGCTTCGTTGTGCAAGTTAACAATTTTTTTGACATGAGCTTTTTCCGCTAGCAGCACAAAGTTTGCAAAATTCTGAAAATTCAACTGCCCTTTCGATTTACTTGTAATTTTCAGGGTTTGCGTAACAAAACATGTTCTTCAAGTGTGCAAATTTTCAAATCTTTAATTGCTTTGATTTAAGCGCTAAGGAATTTTTTCCATAAGCTTTTCTGGGAGCTCCACCTACACAAAAAACCGACTCCTTCGAGTTTCGTGAGGTTTTGAGCATTTGTGTGAGCATTAGTTTATTATTGTTATAACTTGTATTTGTTGTTTTCAGTCTTTGCCAAGATTTTCACAAGTTATGATGTCTGTCGATTCTTCCTCACTTTGCTTTTGGAATTACTTGAATTTTCTTTGGTTTTCCTGTTTTTTCACTTTTCCATTTGCATATATCTCAGTAGTTTGGACTAGCGGTTAGTGTGAGCAACTTTAAAACCGCTTTCAGCGGTTTAAATGCTACTTAAAAATTGCCTTGGTATTTTGCACTTAAACTCCCATTTACTAAAGGAATTATGAAACTTGTTTTTCTACCCATCATAATACTGGTGATTCATTACGACGCTAATTAGCAGCTTATTTCAAAGTTTAGTCAACTTGTTTTGATCCATTTGTCTTTAAAACGCCGTTTATGAACCAATGAAAGTCTAATTAAGACTCTAATTCAATAAAGCTCTGAAATGCAGTGTTAATTGCAGTTAATTTTTTTAACCCCTTCTTAGGTTTCAGCTTTTGTATCAAATTTCATCGGGTCTTTTGAACTGTTTTCATTAAATCGTTGTTGTTTTAAGCCCGCTTCTTTACTATTAACTTCGGCCGATATTGCCCCCATTAGTCTGGATATATTAAAGGAAAATAAATATCGTTTCGATATGATGGGTTTTCTGAATTCTCTCCAGCCATTTGCAGCTGTTTTTTTCGCCTCTATTAAATTGTAAATTGGAACAGAAAAACAATAAACAATTGATGAAACGTAGCCCGATAAATTAGAGTTTGTTTAGCGTCGTTAATTTATGGGTGAAAAAAACAGAAGCCAGAACACGACGAGGTCGATTTACGCTCTCTAGGGCTTTAAGGTACATGTTATTCTGGGATTAATGGCAAACACAAGCTCTAATCCAAACAGACGGTATTTTTAAATATAGAGCGTGAGTGCGAAGAGATGTTTAGAGGAGTGTGTTTAATCCAGCTAAATCTAAATATGAACTTTACCGGGGAAAAGCAAGTGATTAATTGAGAATTAAACGGGGATTTACAGAACAACGCAGTCAAAAGCGTTGGGCTAGTGCAAATTGTAGTAGTAAAGACACTGTCCATTTTAGTCAATTTGGTTTGTCATAATTTTTTTAGGTGTTTTGTGTTTTTTGCCTCAATTTGCCAATTGACTGTTGTCAGATTTTAGGTGGGAATAGGGAAAGTTGAGGTTTTCTAACTGGATTCGATTGGCATGTTTTCATTTAGATGATCAGTGAATATTAGTGAGATTGAATGGGTTGATGTGGTAAATGTTCAATAGGAATCGAACTGTAGAATGTTTTTGATGGATTTATCAGTTCGAACGTAAATAGCGTCCCTCCAAACAAGCTTGATGGCCATCAATATCGATGAATGGCACATAATCGGAAATGTGGAGAAATAAATGCGGCAACCGTTTGTTCCAACCTCTATCGCATGCGAAAGGAGGAAAGAAATTTGTTGAGCAAAGTTACAAACCAGCGGAATAAATTAAAATAATCTACCTACGGCTTTTTATTATTCATGAAATTTTATGGCGGGGTTCGAGTAATTAATTTTAAAAGGCAAGCCCCGGACAACATAATTAAATATCATATACCACCCGGGCCAAAGTGGCGATTGTGTCAAATACGAAATTCAACAGCAACTTTATCTAAATGCAAATGAAGTTGTTACGCCGCCGGAGGTAAAGTAATGCACTCGGCTTTTTTTTCGTTGTTGTCGCCCAGTTTTGTTTTTATTGTGTTGTCCGAACCAATTTAAATTGCTGGTAAATAGGGTGAAAAATTGCAGAGCCATTTTCGGCATGGAAACAGATTTTTTTTCGGCGGCACAGAGATCCGCAAATTTGCTGTTTTATATGCAGTTTTAGGTTTGTGCTGATTGGGTTGACTTTTGGTTAATTAGCTGGTTCATGGGGGCTGATAGATTGGATGAAAATATCTCTTCAGCTCACCTGCATAAAATGTCCACGGTATTAAGAACTCAGAGGAGAAACGTTTTGAACTTTGAAGCATCGCGATAGTAATTTTTCTTCGGAACTATTCTCAACAATATCCACATTGCCATCTTCCGCTCTTTTACCTTAACGAACAATTCTAAATGATCAAAAGTGAGCGCACATCATTTATCTGTTTAATGCGCGTGTTCTGGGTAAACCGGTCATAAAATCTCGTATTTAAATGCCTGTATGTTTAACGCAAATGACATTACGAGAAAGTTGGACATTAAGATTTCAAAATGGGTTTTAGTACCGAAAAACACGTACTTCCCAAAACCGTAAACCGTCTGAAAATAGTTTCGTTCGCTCTCATAAAGCTCTGATTCTCGCCTTGTTCTTGATCATGTCCCTGACAATTTGAAATATGGACAATGTCTTATCGGGTTGATTTATACGGGGAAAGTTGCGTACTAAAACATCCGCAATAAGTGTGCAATTTCAAATCTGTACTTCCCTTGCTTCAAAAGCTAAGGACTTTTTTAACATGAGTATGTTAGGATGCACTGTGTTTGCACGTCTCTGAAAAATAAACCCATTGTTTGATTTGCTTGAGATTTTCAAGATTTATGTATCGAAGTGTTCGCAATCAGTCCTAAGAACATTCAGATCTCTTCCGGTTTCTGTTTACTATTGGGGATTTTTCTGAAACGCCGGATCTTTGGGGGGAATTTCCTGCTACGCAGCAACAAGTTTGCTAAATTGTGAAAATTCCACCAATTGTCCGCTTTCCATATAATTTTCAGGTTCTGCGCCCTAAAGCATGCTGCCGAC